TCAAGACTGCTTTCCTGAATGGTGATTTAGATGAAGAGATCTATATGCACCAACCTGAAGGCCTCATTGCCAAGGGTCAGGAAAACAAAGTCTGTAAGCTTGTTAAATCTTTGTATGGTCTTAAACAAGCTCCTAAACAATGGCACCAGAAATTTGACAACGTCATTGCACAATATGGCTTCACTGTGAATGAATACGATAAATGTGTCTATTCTAAAGTGATAAACAATGACTATGTCATTCTCTGTCTCTATGTTGATGATATCCTTATCTTTGGAACAACACTTGAATTAATTTCAAAGGTTAATGATTATCTTTCCAAAAATTTTGATATGAAAGACTTAGGTCTTGCAGACATGATACTTGGAATGAAAATCTCTAGAGACACTAGAGGAATATCTTTGAGTCTTTCCCATAGCATTGATAAAATGCTAATCAAATTCAACTTTCATAACTCTAAACCTGTTTCCACACCTTATGATTCTTCTATACCTTTGAAGAAGAATGAAGGTGAACCTGTCTCCCAGCTGAAATATTCTCAGATGATTGGATCTCTTCTTTACATATCCAACCGAACCAGACCCGATATAGCTTATGCTGTAGGGAGACTGAGTCGGTATACTAGAAACCCTAGCAAAGATCATTGGACTGCCTTAGAAAGAGTATTCAAATATCTAAAAGGCACAATAGACTATTGCTTGACTTACACTGGTTACCCTGATGCTATAGAAGGGTATAGTGACGCCAACTAGGTCACGGATTCCAACAGTATAAAGTCTACATCTGGATATGTATTTCTTTTTGTTGGTGTTGCTGTATCCTGGAAATCATATAAGCAAACAATAATTGCCAGGAGCACTATAGAATCTGAGCTGATTGCTCTTGATACTACTTGCACAGAAGCCGAATGGTTAAAAGATCTTCTCTCTGAACTTCCTTTGGTCCATAAACCCTCTCCTCCTATTTCCATTCACTCTGATTCTAGATCTACCATAGAGCTTCTAAAGCAAGTACATGTAAATAAAAAACATAACAGACATATTCAAATAAGATATAAGTCTGTACAACGCCTATTAGGCAAAGTTGTAATCTTGGACTTTGTAAAGTCTGAGAAAAATCTTGCTGACCCTTTGACTAAGGGATTATCCAGGAGTGTGGTTCTGGATTCATCGAGGGAGATGGGGTTAAGCCCATAAATGAGGTCACTGACAGCGGCAACCCAACCCTTATTTGGAGACGTAGTCCCAATGTCGGTTCAATGTGGTAGAAACAAGCTAGACAAGTGACTCTCGTGTGGAGCATCGACCTAGATATATTTATATATCATTATGTAGCATTTGCTACTACACCTTCTTTATGATGACGATGCTCTTATGATACAGCTGGCTAGGCTGAGTTTTACTCTTAATAAGTCCAACGCGTGTATTGTGGGGGGTATTAAATAAACAGCTGTAGTACCCTTTGAGGACTTACCTACGTGAGAGGAACCGTGGGGGGGGGGGGGGGGGGGGCAGGGCTGACCCCTAGAAACTCTCATGAGTCGATTTTTTATGAGCATGACCTTTAACGCTCAACCCGCTTAGCTCAATAGATAAAAACGTATTGTGTGTATTTTTATCAATACCTGATTCAAGGGGCCTAATTCAAGGCCTAATCCATTATGTCCCTCAGGTGGCGATGAACTCACTAAGGAAAGGTTCAAAGCCGAAAGCTACCTCTCCCGAATTCACGATACAAAAGGTTGCCCAACCTATATTTATTTTGTGATTTATTTATTGATTTATTATTTTGAATTTTCAGTCAATATTGTCTTTTGGGGGGGACTGTTGGAAGCTTTGTTCATGAAAAGGCAATTTAACCTTTGTGAATAGTCCCACATTGGAAAATGAGATGAATAGTAAATGGTATATAATGGTTCTCTCCTTATTGGGCTTTGAATAGTGTTTTGGGTTTTGTGGGCTTTGCATATCTACCACACACGCGCGCGCGCCCGCACGCCACGCCTCGCCTCGCCACGCCCGCACGCGCGCCCCTCAAGCTTTTATTTTTGCACGTTTTACACGTTCTGTAACGGTTGCATGCGGGTAACGGAAGCAAGATTTGTGCGTAACGGTCCCTTGGATTCAGCGGGGGTTACACTTCTCCTCACCTATATAAGCAGGCTTGGAGCTCATTCAAAAGCACACCAACGAAGAGAAGAACATCTTCTAAGCTCTCTTCTTCCTCTACTCTTATTCCTCCAAGAAATTTCGGCTACATATTTATATTTATTTTTTGGGCAACCGTTTTTCGTCTGAGCATAAACTCTGTGACTCACGCCCGAGTGCAGAGGCCGGCCGATTCCGGGGGTTTTTACCGCTAGGGGAGAGGAGACAAATTACGCCAGGACGATAGGCGGGGCCTTAATCTTCTAGCTAGGGCAGTGATATCACGACTGCTCCCGATTAGGCCTGAATTTTCTAACTCTTTAATTTGTTGTTATATTATTATATTCCTGTTTTGACAGTACATACAGCAGTAAAAAAAGTTATACATTAACAAAATCTTAGGATGTGTTTGGAAAATTACATAAAACTAGGTCAGGATTAGTCATGATCCAATTTTTTACTAAACCAGTTTTCTTTTGGCTCCCTGCCCTGCCAGTTTCAAAAGAAAATCGCTATGGTGACCGATTTTTGGGCTAAACAAATAGGGCCAACACTAGTCTTCTCATGTGTTTGGAAAATTACATAAAACTAGGTCAGGATTAGTCATGATCCAATTTTTTACTAAACCAGTTTTCTTTTGGCTCCCTGCCCTGCCAGTTTCAAAAGAAAATTGCTATGGTGACCGATTTTTGGGCTAAACAAATAGGGCCAACACTAGTCTTCTCATTTGTTAAATAAGAAATAATTTAAAATTAAATTGTGTAGTCCTGCTTAATTTTACAAAGTTGACGAACACTTCTTATATACTATCAGGGGCAGTATCCCATGGGCAGCTTGGGCGCACGCGCCTATGTAATACAATAACTTGATACTGGAGATATTTTCGCTTTAAACTTATGTACATCATTCAGAGCATTTTTTTAGAGCACATGATTGGCTGCAGTCTGCAGGGTTCCTGCGAGCCTGCAAGCAAATTACATTGGACTTGTAGGTGGTTAAGTAGTACTATTATGACTTGGCTCTTTGATTAATAATTTTATATTATTAATATTGTCTTTTGAGTGGTACAGAACATATTTGGAAAGTCCGATGAGGTGCCCATTCATTTTAGTATTATTAGATATTAGTCCCTTAAATCTTCAATAATTTCATATTGGTTCTTCAAAACCGCGAAGTTGCTCTGCTTGGTGCGTTAATAACCAAAACACCCTTAGCTAGGTTTTTTAAGGGTTATTTGCACTTTAACACTCTATAATTTACACTTTTTAAACTGTGATACCTAAAGTTTTCATACACTTTTATACCCTGAACTTTACATCTTTTTAACATTGATACCCTAAAATTTTCTCAAACACTTTGCTACCACAAAAGTTTACATAGTTTTTAATTTTCATATCCCAAAGTTTCACACTTTTCAACTTTCCTACCCCAAAGTTTACACATTTTTTTTACTTTGATACCATAAAGTTTAGGGTATCAAAGTGTCAACAGTAAAACTTTGGGATATTAGAGTTAAAAAGGTATAAACTTTTTCATAACAAAAGATGCCAAAAAAACTTGGGTGTCAAAGTTAAAAAAGGTTGTAAACTTTAGGGTATCAAAGTATTAAAAAAACTTCATGGTATTAAAGTTAAAAATGTATAAATTTTAGACTATCAAAGTAAACTTTAGGGTATTAAAGTTAAAAATGTGTAAACTTTAGAGTATCAAAGTACAAATAACCTTTTTCCTAAACAAGATAATTTTTTTTATAGAGAAATCATAACTAATGGGTGTTGGTTTTGGTTGTGTGAAGAACAAAACCTGAAACAAATCTGCGAGGCTGAAAATCCTCAAGTTGGTCGACCGACAAAGTGACCCCGGTCGAGCAAAGAGACTGTAGAAAACGAGTTCAGGAACACCCTCTAGCTGGTCGACCGAAGCTGTGTTGTCGGTCGACTGAGGGTGACCAATCAGTCGACCGAGGGCCTTGATCCGATCGCCCAAAAACATGCACGAAAACCCTATAAAATAAGTGTGTTCTGGCAGGTCGACCGACACCCATGGTCCGGTCAACCAAAATCTATTTTTTCCAGTTTCTTGATTTGTTTGGGAATCTATTTTGGGCCAGGATGCTATATATACCTAAACGATTTTAGGGTTAGTTGCAACATAAAAAAAGAGGATTTTGAGAGGATTCTTTCAGAGAGATCTCAGAGAGATAAAAAAACATATTTGTGAGCATTATAATCTTCTTCGATTAATCAAAACTTTTTGGTATGGCACCCGAGGACGTAGGAACGTTTGCCGAACCTCGTTAAATCTGGTGTGTTATTTTTGTTTGATCTTTTCTGCAAGTTTTTCTTTTATTTGCTGTAATTTCCTGCTTACCTACTTTCGGCATAATATTCTGAAGGGCACGAGTTCGATTGTGTGTTTCGAATCCCCAACAACTAGTATCAGTGCTTTGTTCAGGAGATTTGTGCGAGAACCATGGCAGAGGAAAGCAAATCAAAGATTGAGAAGTTTGACGGGTCAGACTTCGCCTACTGGAAGTCGCAGATGGAGGACTATCTGTATCAGAAGGATCTTTATCGTCCGTTAATGAGCAAGGCTAAGGAACAGAAGAAAGAGGAATCAGACGAGGACTGGAAAATATTGGATCAAAAGGCTCTAGGGAAGATCTGATTGTCGCTCGCCAAATCAGTCACCCATAATATATTGAAGGAGAAGACGACGACGTGGCTTATGGAAGCGCTCGTAAAAATGTACAAGCAACCGTCAGCCACAAACAAGGTGCATCTCATCAAAACACTCTTCAACCTCAAGATGGCAGAAGGATGCTCCTTCACGATGCACCTCAGCGAGTTCAACATGATTGTTGGTCAACTTATCCCCGTGGACATCACATTTGATGATGAAGTGCAGGCTCAATTGATTCTGTCGCAGTTGCCGGATAGTTGGGCAGGTTACGTGACTACAATTAGCAACTCAGCAGGGAATGAGAAGTTGAAGCTGAACGAGGTTGCTAGCATGATTCTATCCGAGGAGGTTAGAAGGAAACCGTCCGAATCAGAAGGTTTAGGTTCAGCCCTAAATCTCGAGCAGAGAGGCCGAAGCCAGAAGAAGGGTAACCAGAATAGGAATCGGTCAAAGTCAAAGAAGAAGATGTCAAACTCGAAGGTTAGACCTATCAAAGGGAAGTGTTGGAACTGCGATCAGGAGGGCCATATGTTTTCAGTCTACAAAGAGCTAAAGAAGGATGCGAACGAGCAGGAGGCTCACATCGTGCAAGATGCATTGATCCTTACTATGGACAACGACTCAAATTCTTGGGTTGTTGACTCAGGAGCCTCATTCCACACCACTGCTAATAGGAAATTTCTTTAGAACTATGTAGCAAGGGACTTTGGGAAAGTGTACTTGGGGGGACAAAAAGCCTTGCAGTATTGTTGGAAGAGGCAACATGAAAATTCAAATGAAATGCTCTAAGTGGAATTTGAAGAATGTCAGATAAGTACCAAAGCTAAAGAGGAATCTTATTTCGGTTGACCAGCTTGGAGCAGAAGGCTATGTTTTAACATTCACCGGAGATTCGTGGAAAATCTCCTACAGTACTATGGTGGTTGCCCAAGGCAACAAAACCGGAACGCTCTACCTAACTTCACATGCGAGTGATAACCTCGCAATTGCAGCTGGCAAGGAGAGTGTAGATCTGTGGCACAATAGGCTGGGACACATGAGTGAGAAGGGTATGAAGATTCTACACTCAAAGGGAAATCTAACCGACATTGATTCAGTTGAAGTTGGTGTTTGCGAGGATTGGATCTACGGGAAGCAGAAGAGGGTTAGTTTTTAGAAGAATGGAAGACCACTTAAAGCTCAGAAAATAGAGTTTGTCCATACAGATATTTGGGGTCCAGCTAGCGTGTCTTCTCTTGGCGGTTCGGCATACTATGTTACCTTTATTGATGATCACTTGATGAAGATGTGTGTATACTTCATAAAGCACAAGTCAGAGGTGTTCAAGATCTTCAAGAAGTGAAAATCCATGGTAGAGAATGAGACAAATCTGAAAGTGAAGTATCTGAGATTAGACAATGATGGAGAATATGAGCTGGAGGAGTTCAAGAGGTTCTGTGCTCTGAATGGAATTCTTTTGGAGAGGACTACTCCAGGGACGTCGTAACAGAACAACGTTGTAAAAAGGATGAACAGGACATTGATAGAGCGTGTGAGGAGCATGCGTCTACATGAAAGTCTATCTAAGATGTTTTGGGCGAACACGGTGCATACAACAACTTACTTGATTAATCATGGGCCATCAGTTCTATTAGATTTTAGGATTCCTGAAGAGGTCTTGGAGTGATAAGGATGTTAATCTCTCACATTTGAATTTCTTTGGCTGTGTGGCATATGTTCATATCAGTGACCATGTCAGGGACAAGCTAGAAGCTAAGTCACAGAAGTGTACATTTATTGGATACAATATTAATGAGTTCGGGTATCATCTTTAGGATGAGAAGAACAGGAAAATCACCAGGAGCAGGGATGTGATATTTAATAAGGAGGTGATGTATAAGGACATAGACAATGCTAAGAATAGCCAAAGCAATGGGAGCAGCACTACGGATGTAGGTGTATCCGAGTACATGGATTTAGAGGAACTTCCAGATGGGGAAGACAATGTTAGTTTTGACCGAAGAACGAAGGAGACTCTAGGCGCAAAGACTACTACGCAGGGCATGTAGCTTAGGAGGTCATCCAGAGTACCCAAACCGAATCCCAGATATCTTTTGTCACTAGATTATTTGTTTTTGACATATAGCGGAGAACCGGAGTGTGTTTGCTTCAGAAATCAGTTTCATTGTTGAATCCATTACAACGTTTATCATTTACATAGATTCAAAAGAGTGTATCTTTTTATAAGATCTCTCATTACAATAAAAATAAACAAAGACTTCCTAGAAACACACGCATAATCGTTTATCGATCGCTGCTTGCATGAGATCTTTGCCTGTACCGGGGACGTTTTGATGTGTGGACTGTCGAGTATCAAATCCGGATTGATCGGGACGAATGCTCGCTGTTCTTGTTTTGTTTTTGACACAAGAACAGAAGTAAATATCTCAATAATATGAGATAAATACTCTTCTTGAGATCAAAACAACGTTTGATCCCAAGGAAAAGGCGAAAAGGCTGTAGATCTCTCGAAATTCTCCCTTTATGTTCAGAAAATCGCCAAGACCTCGCATTTCTCTCTCTCTCTCTCTCTCTCTCTCTCTCTCTCTCTCTCTCTCTCTCTCTCTCTCTCTCTCAAATTTGTGGGTTCTGCTCTTAGAACGTCAACATCTCGCCTCAAAGTTCTAAATTTTAGATCTCCCGTGCATAGGGGTGCTAGGGGTGTATTTATAGGCTTCAGATCCTGTGTTTTCAGATAAGATTTTGTGACCTGATCATCTCTTCAGTTAGAAATGACTTTACCATGTTTAAGGATGATCCTAAAGTAGTTAGGGAGGCACCGGGTAGCATGATTCCTGAGAAATCATCAAAAATGTGTTTTGGGGGAGTCAGACTGTGCGAGAGAGTTTTTATCTGTCTCGACATGAGAGACAATTTTTATCTGTCTCGGCATGAGAGACAATTTTTATCTGTCTCGACATGAGAGATAATTTTTATCTGTCTTAGGTTTCAAGACACATTAGTTGTGTCTCGTTTGCCGCTTCGTCGATTTGTACGATTTGTCGCTTCTTTGTTCTGTTATTTTGCATGTTTCTTTGCTTCCCTTTGGCATCAGATGATCTTCTTTGACTCGGATATCTATATTCTTTGTCTTCTCCTTGTCTCGAGCTATGTGTGGGAACCTATAAGTAATTTTTAATACCTACAAATACCACCTCCAAAGTTTTTAGCCTCATCAATATTTATTATTAAGGAGTCTGGAATACTTTGGATAAGATAAATCCAGCCTTCAATTCTTTGACTCCTTCAGCTTTCATCCTATTTAGTACTTTTGTCGAATAGTTTGAAATTTTTTGGGTGTTGCGTTTATCATCTGACCGTTGTCGAAACCTTGAACTAAAAACTAGTGTGTTGATTTCTAAATTACCTCGTGTCGTTAAATCAATATTTAACTGACGGTCTTCGTTAGAAGTTTGTATCTAAATTATGATTAAACTCTCAAGGGTAATTTGGAACTGAGAATTATCCTGAGCCTTATTGAAAGTACCCTAGAGGGGGGTGAATAGGGTTATTGCTAATCTTATTAGATATTAATACCGATTAAAAGTTATTAACAAATATATCCTAACAATGATGATATTTAATAAGCTATATGCATGGATATATATGCAAAGGGAAAAATAAACAAGATTCAATATAAACAAATAGTGGACACAAAGAGCAATCCAAACATAATGATATGATCATGGAGTTCGGACCTTCCATCCTACGTCTCCGCTCCCCACTCCCGGGAAGAACTCCACTATCGACACACCTAGTTTAGAAGCCGGAACTTCTCTACATATTTGGTTTTCTAGCTCACCGAAAACTCTACAAATCTCTCACAATGTACATACACAAACTACAACCTCAAGTTTCGGTCCTCACGTATCGCCTCCCTCAAGTGCTCGGCTTTACTACCTCTCTCTAGACTTTACTACCGGCGCCACTTCTCTTGATATCGACTACATCCTCACCACACACTCCTCTTGGTTTAAATATGTATTACAAAGCGATACTCTCACAATTAAGTCTCAATTACAAGATTTATTCTCTATAATAGATGAGAACACAATTTAGGCTCACTCTCAAGGTTACACTCACCACAACACCAAATTATACAATATGTAAAAATAGTTAAGCTCAATGGTTGTGTGTGCAAACAATGAGAAAATCAAATATAAACTCAATTAAATCTAGCAAATATGAATATAACAATTAAAGCATAAACAACCTAGAGATATGAGTTTAGAAACACTTCTCTAATCACAAGAGAGTGGGATAGGAAGATTAAAAGACCAAACTGAAATTGATCTCCTCTTCTTGTAAAACAATCTTCACAAAACTAATTTTGTAAACAAACACTTAAAACAAAGTAAAACTCTTTTTAAACTTGTTTTAAAACTTCCCTTCTTGGTTCAGAAGTAAAATGGTATAGGGTATATATAGGATGAAGAAACAAAGCTCAAAACCCAAGTAAAATCTAGCAAAATGATAAAAAATTAAAAACTGGAAATGTAGCCGTTACAGATCATCAGTCGACTGACGGGTTGGATCAGTCGACTGATGAGCTGACCATTATAGGCAGCTAACAACTCATCGGTCGACTGATGAGCATAGCCAGTCAACCAAAATGAAACAAAAACTTTTGATGATTACAGGTAGTTTCATCAGTCGACTGATACAAACCATTAGTCGACTGATAACATGTTATCAGCCTGGATTGAATAGTAAAAAACGAACTTCAAACCTCTTTTTAAAATATCAAATAAATTCGTAAAAATATAAAACTTTGGGAAATTAATGTAAACATGATAATGAACATGTTATAAAAAGAATTTTTCAATTTTCATTTCCTATTTGTAAAATCTTATTATTTTGTAAAATCACATAAGTATGAACATGTTAAAAACTTGATTTTGCCAAAATGACTTAAACAAAACTTAAAATCACATAAGTATGAACATGTTAAAAACTTGATTTTGCCAAAATGACTTAAACAAAACTTTGAAATACTTTAGAATGGATTTATAGACTTATACAAGATATGAAAATAGTGTAAGTAAGTGTTCAATCCATAAACAAAATATTTTGCAAATTCAATATAGTATGAAGCACATAAATGTGAATATATATTGCTTCATATCTATATAGCTAAACCAAAATAACGTATCCACATATAAAAAATAAGTATTATATATTTATTTGTTTGCAAAAACTTTTCTGAATAAAACACATAAACCATTAAATTGTGTGTGTATAATATTGAGCTTAAGATATTAACACACAAAGTATAAACCCTAAACTAATTTACCCAAGCTTGATAGGTCTTCAATATGGTTGACTTGGTTGCGGATGAAGCTTGCTCTTGAATATGACTTGATGTACAATGGTTTCATACCGATATTCTGCTAACCTCCATTTGATGTGATCGTGAAGGCTCAATCCATCCAACCTCTAACGTATTGTTTGTTACCTAATAAGAAAACATAAACACTAGACAAACAATATTAGGAATTGTTTGTAATCATCAAACAAGATTAGAAGATATAGGCTCATAATATAAGACCTAACAATCTCTCTCTTTTTGATGATGACAAACAATCTACACAAAGAGTATATAAGATATATAATAAAACACAATACTCTTAAAATATATATACTCACAATCCAATTGTTTCTTCCCCTTTGGCAACATCAAAATGGGGAAAATATAAGAGTAAGAGAGAGAAAGCTCCTCCTATCATAAAGCATAGGTGGGTATAAACAAAAATATGGAAGGCTTCTCCTATCAAAAAGCCATATAAAAAATATTCAATGATGAGCATGGTAAATAAATGTGAGTAAGCATGGATACAGAATATCCTAAACACCACTCATATTAAAGGAGACCAAGTGACCACATGTATGTGTTATTAAGAAAAGAGTCATAAGAGTCTAAAACATATCTATCTATATATATATCCATAGGATATATATAAAAAACAAACAAAAACAAAAAAAACCCAAAAATAAAAATCAAAGTTTTAAAAATTATAAAAAATCAAGAATCAAATGATTTGTCAATAAATTCAAAAGAAAATTCATAAGTTATCAAACCATAAATTATGATTGATTGAGAACATATATAAATACATTATTATAAGAATGATGTCTCAATACATGAAAACAAAGTATATATATATATATCTAAAAAGTGTTTGATCAATAGAAGAAATCTTATTTGTAGAACTTGATCAAACTACATAAGGAATACATTATAAACCACAACTAGATGATCCGGAAGCTCAAATACATAAATGTCATCATAAGAGTGATTTAAAATGATCCTATAAGCATAAACACATAGTTCAATCTAAAAAAATTGAAAACAAGTTATAATAACAAAAAAAAGATGTTTTAGCAAAAAATCATCTTGATAAAAATTGTATCAATTCATAGGGATGAAAACATGAAAATCTATGAAAGAGAATCATGAAAAAATATGAATGATAACTTTTCAAATCAAATAAATCTATGAAAGAGAATCATGAAAAAATATGAATGATAACTTTTCAAATCAAATACCAAGTATAGAATTATTTTTAATTTTGTTTATAAAACTTTAATATGAATGATAACTTTTCAAATCAAATACCAAGTATAGAATTATTTTTAATTTTGTTTATAAAACTTTAAATAGAAAACATCTTTAAGAACATGAAAAACTAAAAAGTTAAAGAATTTGTTCTTAAATATTAAACATGTTTTGATACTCAATTACTCTTGGTATCTAAGAGTCTAGGGACATGACCCCTATCATTAAAACTCAAGGCCCTTGGGTTATGAACCCATTTGGGCGTGTATGATGCACAGATACAGTCAAAAAATTCATATGCATGACCTTTTCGATTGTAATGTGTGAATAAAAGGGTCTAAAAGGTTTGTGTTGACCAAGTGGTGGTGCACGAAATTATTTGCAAACAAA